GTCCTCTCTCGAAGTCCGAAAAATACACTCTAAAAGTCACTTTTAATTCCCGTGTTGGTTTATCTCGCCGAAGCATGGACAATAACATCCAATGAGGCGGCTCTTGGAGTAATCGAGAGAAAGATTTTGAGGAAGATTTACGGGCGTTGGCGATGGCGAGTGCCGCAGACAATGGAACTATGAGCTGTATGAGCTTCACAACGACATAGACGTAGTACAGGTAATTAAAATACAGCGGCTCCGCTGGCTTGGCCATGTCGTTTGAATGGGCTCCGACGCTCCAGCTCTGAAAGTATTCAACTCGGAACCCGCTGCTGGTAGCAGAGGAAGTGGGAGGCCCCCACTGCGTTAGAAAGACCAAGTGGAGAAAGACTTGGCTTCGTTTGGCATTTCCGATTGGCGTCAGTTGGCACAATTTTGGCGAATTTATAAAAGGTGGTATTACTGGCGAATTAAGCTTTTCGCCGCGGTCCTTCTGAATGATGCGTTGGTTGTGAGCAAGGCGAATTCATATTACAACAAACTCATAATTTTGACATGTGCGCGAGCATGCTCGGCTTGCGGTGCATGTTTTTCGTTTGTAGGGCGATTCACGAGCATGTTCGCAAAAAATCAATAAATTTTGATTTTCAGTGAGCATGCTCGTCGTTTGTGGCGTGGTTTGCGAACATTGCATTGGAAACAAAAACAACAACCTCTCTTTGTGTTGATGCTTGCAGCGGCGGATAAATGTATCCAAGCTATGTGCGTTAATTGAATTTTGGATAAATGAGGCTAAATTCCCTACAAGAATTGGGTGATGGATACTAACACATTCTCATTTATCTTACTAGCACTTTTGCAAATTTTGCGTTGGTTAAAAAGAGACCATTAAATAAGGCCATAAGTTGAAAGAAGACAAAAATCACATGTATACATTTGTTTCATCATTTTTTGCACGTTGGCCTTAAAAACCTGATGGGAGCGTTTGATGGAAATTTTCATCACCATAGAGTTACACATGATTAATCAAATTACTATCAGGGTCTGTTTTTCAATGTCTGGTTATCATTACTTGCTGGTTAAACATCATTATCGACGTCTTCGACATCATGCATATAACATGGGGTCGCTAAAGCAGTCGTTGTATTTAACCGGAGCTTCTACTTCGATTTGTACTAATCAGACATTGAACAACCGGCCCTCACTGTTCTTGTAGGGTTACTATATGTTTAAGTCATTGGACCTTTTTTGAATTTCGACTGAGAACGTTCGGATTGTTGAAGATAATAGGGAAGACTGGTTCCTTCTAAAATTTCAGCTTATTTGAACAAGATTTAGGGGTCGCTCAACGCTTTTTCTTTTCCAGAAGCTACAGATTTTAAATGCATTTTTATAAAAATATAGGTATATGTAGGAAAAGGCGGTTAGCTTGGTGATTTAGAGTCACGTTTATTAAAATGTTCACTTGTACATAAATTGCGATACACTTCTCGTACTTTGCAACAGTTTGGCGACTGTGTTGTGCACGCTTCAACGTACAATGTTAGACTGTGATGATGGATGCCTTGTCTTCTGTTCGTTCGTTAGTTCGTCCCCTATCTGTTCTTTACTTCGTTCACCTACTATGTGTTGCCATCTACCCCGATGTCCCATTCCCACAATCGGCCGTCCTGATAAGTTATTCGACTCTGAATAACTAGCGCTATGGTTTCATGTTTTCGGCTATAGTTATCGTTTTAACCGGGCCCTCTTGGTTGCCCACTTTCCTCACCTCATATATACCGTGGTTTAGCTTGGCGGTTACCTTTTACCATTAAGGTTATAATGAACTTCTGTTTTTCTATTTTTATTGAACGTCCTGCAGTTTTCATATTGTATTTTCTTGAAGTTTTCTTGGGCATTTTGTCTAACTAGGTCTAGTTCAGTATCTAGCTCCTCGGTTGTTACTTCATCTTAAATTTGTCGCAAATCTGGGTAATCGTTTACCCGAATGTCTAGTCCGGTAAGAATTCGTAAGGGGGCAGCTCTTGTGCTGCGTGGTATAGTGTTGTACAGAACTTGTTGCACTTTTGCCACATGGTTGTAGCACGTGGTGGGGTTTCTTTGACACTTCGTTGGTGGGTTTCATTTTGTGCTGTCTTCCAACATGACGTACGAGTACACAGATGAGCTGCTGTATTCACTGCTGCCGAAATAACGAAACGTAGTCGCTATTGCTCTCGCTCACTTCTCTGGTGGATTTTGTTTTTCACTTGAATTAATTCGCATTGAGTGCACAGATGAGCTGCTGTATTCGTTGCTAATAAACGTAGATGCTATTCACTCACTTCTCTAGTAGATTTTGTGTTTTGCTGCTTTTGAAACCGACGTACGAGTGCACAGATGAGCTGCTGTATTCGTTGGTAAGAGTGCACAGATGAGCTGCTGTTATCGTTGCTGCCCAAATAACTAAACGTAGTCGCTATTTCTCTTGCTCACTTCTCTGGTGGATTTTGTTTACCACTTGAATTAATTCGCTTCGAGTGCACAAATGAGCTGCTGTATTCAATGCTGCCGAAATAATCTAACACTGCGCGGTCTATGTATGTACATGT